TAAACCAACATCCCCCCACAGGATGGGGTAAGCAAGCCTGCAGGCCAATCCAGAAGAATAAAATGACGGCTTAAGCCAGGCCATGAAAATAGTTTGTCCTTCCCAATTCTCACCGCCGGCTTGGTTAGGTCCCAGGAGAGCCCATGTGAACTCATGCTCAGTAACCCCACGTGCCAAAATCTGCGAAGTCTCTATGAAATACACGCGGTGTCGGACCCGAAATTAAAGAAATTAAGCATCTGGAAGCGAGGATGCGGCTTCTATTTTCATCTTGTTAACCGAGAAGGGAAATAACGGGAGTTAGCCGAACGTTATCCTGCCTCAACAGGACTTTTTGGGGATGCAGGGCAAGTGCTCTGCTCTGGCCAGCCCCAAATCCAGCATCCGCAGAGCAGGGACAGACCCAGCCTCCGAGTCGTTCATCGCCGTTTGAAGATAATAGGTAAGCAAGATGACAGCTGTCAACATGTTTTACAGGAAGGTACTGACCTTTGAAAGGTCACCCAGAGAAGTGCCTTCTTTGAAGCAGGTCTGCAGAAAGGCAGCCGATCCAAGAAAATCCACTTATTTTGCAAATAAAGTTTGGTTATTACCCAGCATTTCCCACCACGGCAACACAACAGAACAAGTTCTTCGGTGCCAAAGCACCGTAAGCAATAGTTATATTTTTATTCCGTAGTCTTTGTCATAGGCAATTAGGTAGAACAAAGTGTGACAGTTTCGGAGCCGATAGCTGAACTTGATGATACAGCAGACAAGAAGGTACAAAAATAATAGAAAAATAAATGCGGGAAATAGCACTTTCCTCTGGCCACCTTTTTCAATCACTTTCCCACTGCAGAGTACGTCATCAAACTTTTAAAAATAAAGTTGATCCATAGGTTCTCCAAATGGACTATTGAGCAAGGTTTGGCAGGAAGGCTATTAAGAAGCCACGCTGTGACATGAATATAAACGGATGTAAATATTGTCCTTGGTTGCACCAATGCGCTACCACGCTGCCCTCAGGCCAGCTGCTCTGTAGTGGCCATTCCGAATACCAAAAGGTTTCAGAAAACATACTCTGGCTCTAAGCCAGGGATTTTTTTTTTTTTTTTTTTTTAATTAAACCTGCAGTTAGTTTTTGTACTAGAAACCGAACTAATCTTGGTTAGTCCTTGGCTCTGTTCATCCATTCCCATCAGTCAGGCTTTGCTGTCTTTAATGGTGGGGCTCGTTGTGTATAGCTTGCATATTATAAAAAAAAAGAAAAAAATTAATTGGGTAGATTAGTTGCCTGTCACCTGAAACCACACCTTCCTGAGGAAAGCTCCAACCCTGCTTTCCCAGTTTAGAGCAGCTGTGACTTCTCGTCTTTCTCACCTTCTGAACAGCTGGCGTTCAGTCTCCATGCGTTCAGTACTCGGTTCAATTCCTTGCTGTCCCCTGTACATAAAGTGCCATCAGCTGAAAATTAAGGCAACAGCTCACCGGGTAACACAGTAACCTTGAGAGTTAGTCTTCCAGCACACATCCAACCCCTACATCATCATGATCATCAACCATCCTCATGGTTGGAGGAGATGCTGAGGCTGTGTTTTAACTGGGAACGGCGTTTAACATTTACCAGGTAATCTCATCGCTTTTGAAGTTTTGCACAGGTAACTCAGTCAGGACTCCAAGTCTATTTGGATCATTTGGAAGTGAAAAATGATCATTAATGCCCGGTTTGTAGAGGGTAAAGCTGGGTACTAGGGGGCTGTTGCAAAGATTTTAGCTCTGCTGTCTCCTGCTGAGGGCAGGAGTCAGGACGCTGGATCCATGACCACGGGCTGCGTCAGGAGCAGCCAGGGCTGAGAAAGCCAGCACACAAAGTTAAATGTCTGTATGAGATTTTCAGCGGCAGGAAAACAGGTTGCTATCTGCTTTTTTGGGCGCTTCCTCGCCTTGTGACCGAGGGCCAGGCTTACCTCTGGCTAGCTGCTGATCACCCACCTGAAGGCAGCTCGGACGGCCCGTGACGAGGATGCCTCCACCTTGGTTATGTACCTCGAGGCTGGATGGTCCGTGGTGGGGCTGTCACCACACATCCACAAGGGCTGGCCAACGGGAACGGGCTGACACATCCCTGTTTCCTTGCAGAAGTCTAGCGGTGGTCCTCGTGATGTCGATCGTGGAGCTGCCTCGCGCTGTCTTCCGTAAGTGCCAGTAACAAACCGCCTTTTCGAATAGCAAATGTTTACATGTACCTCGAGGCTGGATGGTCCGTGGTGGGGCTGTCACCACACATCCACAAGGGCTGGCCAACGGGAACGGGCTGACACATCCCTGTTTCCTTGCAGAAGTCTAGCGGTGGTCCTCGTGATGTCGATCGTGGAGCTGCCTCGCGCTGTCTTCCGTAAGTGCCAGTAACAAACCGCCTTTTCGAATAGCAAATGTTTACATACGCACAAATGAAAGTGCCAGCAACGAACCGCCTTTTCGAATAGCAAATGTTTACATACGCAATAACAAAATGCCTTTTTGAAACCAATACCGCGATGCCCACCAGAAAGTAGACTGGCCGTCCAAGGGAGGGAAATCCCAGCTGGCTGGTACAAACACACCTGGGGCAGGGGAACAACCAAAACCGCCCTTTGACCAAAAGAAGAGCTGTAGAGAAAGCTGAAGAGGTTCCACAGAGTTTCCTTGATGTCTGCAGCAGACAGAGCAGCTCCGGGATGCCTGCCTTCCCTTCGCTCCTCATCAGGACTGTTTTACAGGTGATGCAGGATGGTGCAATCGTGAAAATTGGCCACGTCACCGGATTGTCTGTCTGTTAAACCAGAGGGAGTTCAAAGAAGCCATTTTGCAGAAAATTATTTTGGCAGCTTCAGCAGGGAAATTCTGACGTATACCCATGTCCGATATTAGCATGTTAATACCGACAAGGGAACATGAAATGCAAACGATAAACCGAAGTCTAGGAAAATAATATGCAAGCTCGGTTAGCGCTGCAGATTCTGAAGTGGGTTGAATCAGTAATATTCAAACTACTGTTCGATGTGCTTTAACATTACTTTCAAAAAAATAAAGTTTAACTCCAACAGTGAAGTGGTTTTAAGAGGTAAACCTACTGAAGTAATTCAAACCACAGTTTCAAAATAAGTCATCCACCTGCATTTCCTCTGGTCTTTTAAATGTACTAGAAGCTTTCCGATTTGTGGAAATGAGAGCACGCACGGTTATCAGGAGAGAAGTGGAAACAGCTACACCATTTTAATTCTCATACTATAGGAAAATAAAAGCACCTGTTGTCAATCCAGACTGCTCAGCCCAATCTGCACCCTTTACCAGAATTCAACTTCTACGAGCATAATTTTTAGGTAGTGACAAATTTTGAGGAACACTATGAAAGTACTTGAAAACTAAGCACATTCAGAAATTTTGCTTCAATGGAGGCAACTGTTATATTTAGGATATTAAATCAAAAGCACTGTCTAGCTACCTCATGCTTAGGATGGCAACTGTGCATGTAGCAGCTCTTCTTGAGCAT